AGGATGGGCCTGGTGGGCTTGCCCCGCCTTGCTGTCGCAATGACACCTCCAGCGCAGACGCAGAGGAGGCCCCGAGACGACCTGGTCTTCCCACGCCGTCAGGGGGTGAGGCTTGCGCCCCTCAGAAGACTCCGGGCACGGGGCCCACCGTTCCCACGCGTGGCGGGGCCGGGGCAGCATCACCATCAGCCCCAGCCATGTCCTCTCTCCTTTCCCCTCCCGAACAGAGCCCCACATTTGGCTGGGCCCAAGCCCATTTCTTGCTTGTGGGGTCCTGGCTGTGGCTAAGAGGTCACCGCCTGGCCACTGGGACACATGTGGACGTGGGGGAGGTGTGCCTGCTGGGCAGGGCGTGACCCCCCTCCTTCCCTGCACCTGCGGACGGAGCTGGAGCTGCCTCTCAGGCAGGCTTGGTGACCACCCCACGCTTGGCACAGCGACAAGGCAGAAGGGACTGGCCGCTCACACGCCAGCCTCTGGGCACCCCGGACCACATCTCCAAAAGTGCACAGACACAGAAGTCAGTGTCCATCTGTTTACAACACTCCCGTGTCCCTGGCTGTCCCCCAGCCATGTCACCACAGCCATGTCCCCCCCAGCCGTCTTACAGCCACTCACAGACACACGTGGGTGGTCCTGGGCTCAGGGAGGGGACAGCCCACGCACAGGAGGTGAAGCCAGCTCAGTTTCTGTCACACCCAGGGTTAGAAGTGTCAGTGTTTGCCAGGCTCTGAATTAAATCTATCCCACGTTTTACAATTGTCGGGACCACAATCAATGGACTATTTTTACAAAGGCCGTCTGGACAGCACGAGATCCTATAACAGATATGACCTGTCGATTCTCTAGTCCCCAAGTGGGACTTATTCTGGCTGGAAGAAGGAAGTGAAAAGAATCTCAAGGAGGAACCTCCCTATGCATGAAGAATTTCTCCCAGACCACGGTTTCTGTGGCAGGGATGGAAAGATGGAGAGATTACCTGGTGGATGCCATGGCTCAGGGGGTCCACTGTGCACTTCAGGCGGCCAGAAGTAAGTTCATTACACAGAGTGCACCTAAATTATCCAGAGAACCGACCCAGCCCAGCCATGTGTGTCCAGGCCGTCCAGCCCTGAGCTGAGAGCGCCGGCCTGCTTCATCGGCCAGAAACTCGGGGGTGCGCTGCCCTGGCCTGGGGCATTGTCCCGACACGCACGCGGCTCCCTGTGCCGCCCCCGCCACCTACCTCCTGTCTCTCCCATGTGTTCCACGCAGCGGTTTCGCTTCACAGCCCCTGGGGCACGCACCCTGCTCTCTTTGATCAGCCGGTTTTGAGCAGAGACGAGGTCTGACCCTGGCCGTGTGCCCTGCCCCTCCCTGCTCTTCAGGGCAGAGTCGTGCCCACTCACGACGCTGCTCCAGCGCTCCTCGTTCCCGGGTTGCCCCATCAGAGGCGAAGGTGACGGACTGTGTGTGTCCGCCGCCCCCTCCCGCCGCCCCATTGGCGGAAGAAGCTTGGCTGCGAGCACAGGCCTCCCCATGGAGGTGCGCGCTCAGGCCTTGTGGAGATCCGGCAGCGACTCGGCCCCGGCACAGACCTCCCTCTGCCTTTCTCTTCATGGGCACCTGTCACTGGAGTCGGGTCCACCCGAAGCGCAGCATGTCCTCACCGTGAGACCCGTAACATAAGCGTCGGCGAAGTCCCTGTTTCCAAAGATCATATTCGTGGGCTCCTTTGCGGAGGAGCGCGGCACCTTTCAGCCCACAACCACAGGGAAGACCCTTCCGCGTGGAAGCCCACGAACAAGCCGTGGGCACAGCGGCGGGAGCGCAGGAGGAGAGCGCGGGGCCTCCGTCTTCCGTGGGACCCGCTCCCAGCTCGGCACGTGGTCTCCGCCAGACCCCTTTCCCGACTCTGGGACTCCGGAAATGACGTGCCAAGTGTCAGCCAATCAAAGCGCCCCATTTCCGCGGGCCACAGCGATTGGTCCAAGCACGGGCACGGCCCCCAATCAGCGGAGGGGACGTGGGAGGCCTTCCCGCGCGTCCTGGAGAAAGACCCTCCCCCCGCGCGGCGGACGCGCAGGGGCGGGTGTGCGACCGAGGAGGGGCGTCGGGGTCCCACCGCGTCCCCGGAGCCCCCGGCCGAGCCCACAACGCCCCGGACTTGTCGCGGAGGCGAGCCGGCGAATCCCCTTCGGCCAGTTTGGTTGATTTTCCATCCCTCACGTTGTTTCCGCCGGAGGTGCCTGCCCCGCAGAGAATGGAGAGCGTGTCCGGAAGGTTCTGTCGCCCGCTTTCCTGGGAGGCCGTGCTCGCCCCGGAGTGGCCGCAGCCCCCGAGCCCCGTGGGCGTTTCAGGAACCTGCAGAGCCTGAGCTTGCGAAGGACGGTCTCCGTCCCGGGAAGGCGGCGTGGCCCTCGGGTGAGTGGCTGCCGTCCGCACGCACAGGAAGAGCGGGCCCCTGGCAGGAATGTCCACGTCACGTGGAGGGTCGCGGAGAACAGGCACCTCGCGGGGGCCACCAACATCCTGCGCCCCCAGTGCCAGCAGAGGAACATCCAGCGCCCGCTGCCCCGCACGCCGTCACAACGCCCTGGAATCCCGGCCGGCGCTGCGGGGGGCGGAAAGGGGCGCTGTGTCCGCCGAGGCGGGGGCACGCCGCCCCCGCATCCCGCCGCACCCGCACAGCCCCTGGCTCTCCTCACGCCCAGCGCGCCCACCTGCGGGCTCCGGGTCCCCCAGTGCTCACATGGCTGGTTCCTCCCCATCTTTAGGGTCTTTTGTGGGCTGAACTGTGTCCCCCAAACCCACGGGGGAGCCCTGACCCCCAGCACCACGGAATGTGACCGTGTGTGGAGGCAACACTCTGCAGAGGTGACGCGGGGAAGTGGGGTGACCCGGCGGGCCTGCCCCGGGCAACTGAGATCCCCCAGAGAGCACAGCAGGACGCACACGGGGCTCGACCACTGAGGACAGACAGGGAGGCGGTCTGCAGCCCCGGGGAGGCCTGGGAGGAGCCAGCCCTGCCACACAAGGACACCCCCCCCACACACACCTGCACCTGGACCCCCTCCCCCACACCTGGACCTGGACCCCCGCCTTCAGATGGTGAGGAGCACACACCTGGGGTTTAGACCACCCAGTTTGCGGTGTTTGTTACATGGCCAAGTTGACAAGGCAGAGCTGAACTCACCACAGGGTTGGTCAGGGCTCCTCCCTGGGTGCCTGGTCCACAGCACGCCACAGCGGGGGTGGGGGGGTGGAGACCCTCCCCTGTCCTGTGGGCCCTGGGCCTCCGGCCCCCAGCCCCCGCTCCTGGACTGTGGGCGCGAGAGCCAGTCCTTAGGACAGCTGCACGTGACCCAGTGGCCCTCCAAGAGTTCCCTGCACAGTCAGAGAAAGCAACCCCAGCTCCCCCCCCACGTGGGACGGGGTGAGGACGGCGGGGGTGCTCACACTTTGGGGCCTGTGAGCAGTGTGTCCACTTGTTCACAAATGTGTGCTAAGGGGCTCATGTGTGTGGGCCCAGCTCCGTGGGCTTGGGCTGTGGCAGTGAAGGAGCCTGCGTTCGGAAGGGGACCCCGAACTGCAGACAGGCTGGGGAGACCATACAGGAGCACAGTGATTGGGTGGGAGCAGGCGCGGGAAGGCCGCCACTCAGCCCACTGCCCGCCTTCGTTCCCACTGCCTCCTGCCCCTGGCCGTCACCCTCAGGATGAATTTCCGCCCTCAGCTGTTCTTTCTGTTGTACACACTGTGCAAGTTCATAAAAATTGTGCATTCCAACCTTACTCCTCCAGGGAAAAGTGGGGTGAAGTCTTGTCAGATGGCATTTTCTGAGTGATGAAACCCCCCAGCTATGCATCTGTGGCCGTGTGCGCGTGGTGTTGACAGACAGCTCAGTCCCTCCACCCATGCACTAGGAGGGGCTCGCTGGAGCCCTCCACCCTGCGCTGGGGCCACATCCAGCCCAGGAGGGGCTGATGGCTGGGGTTCAAACCCCAGCTGCACTTACTGCCTAGGAGAGGAGTTGTGGGAGTGTGTGGAGTGTGTGTGAGTGTGACTATGTGAGTGTGCAGCATGTGAGTGAGGGTGAGCATTGGTATGAGAGCATGTGTAAGAGTGTGTTGTACAGTGTGAGTGTGGGCATGAGAGCAGGTGTGTGAGAATGTGCAGTGTATGTGAACGTGGGTATGAGAGCATGCATGTGTGGAGTGTGAGTTTATGGAGTGTGTAAGCATGTGTGAGAGCATGTGTGTGTGTGGAGTGTGAATGTAAGCCTGGGCGTGGGAATGTGTGTGTGGAGTATAAGTGTGGGCATGGAAGCATGTGTGTGTGTGGAGTGTGAGTGCAAGCCTGGGCGTGTGTGTGTGTGTGTGTGTGTGAGTGTGTCCACCTTAATCCATGGCTTCTGCCATCCTAAGGAGACATTGGGTGTATTTACACGTGTCACGGCGGCACATGTACTTGACTGGCTTCCTTCCATGTTTATCTTTGCATTTACTTTACCTTTGTTTTCTCTTTCTTTCTGTCACCGGAGTTTTGACCGTTTCACCACATTCCTATTTATCAGTAAACGTGCATCACCCGGTTACACTGAAGAAGCAGACATTGCTCGCTGTCCCTGGGACCCTGACCCCACCCCACCCCAGCCTCTGAGACCAGACGCTCAGGGCAGCCTCGCGTGCCCGCTGTGCTATTCCGCCCTCACGCTTGGCTGAGGCTGCTACCTTCAGCCCCGGCGAGGCGTCCCTGCAGACCCCTCGTCCACGGCAACAGCCCTCAGCTGACGTTTGCTCCCCGGCAGCCCATCACCCAGAGCCACACCCCGGTGCAGGGCTGAGGCTCGGAGCTGCACACATGCCTTCTGATGGACGTCGTTCAGAGGCTGGGCGTTCCGCCTTGCAGCCTTGACATTGCTCTTTCGCTGGGTGTAAGATTTAGAACCGCCGAGGGGGCACGGGCCACTTCCTGCACGCCCCACGCTCACCGATGCCTGTGAACCGTGTCTCCCGCAGGTGCAGACAGATGACACACGCCACCGACCTGCCCCAGATCTCCGTGGTGTTCATCTTTGTCAATGAGGCCCTCTCTGTCATCCTGCGCTCTGTGCACAGCGTGGTCAACCGCACACCCTCACGGCTCCTCAAGGAGGTCATCCTGGTGGACGACAACAGTGACAGTGGTGAGTGGGCACCATGCTGATGGCATGCAGGAGCTCGGGCCACACTCCCGGGAGGCCGGGCCAGCATCCTCCCCTCCTGCCCTCCCCACTCCTGGCTCCCGGGACCCTGGGGCCTTCACGCATCCCTCCCACCTCTACCTGCTCTTTACGTGGCTCCCTGCAGGGTGCCTCTCCTCTTCTGAGGACGGGTGTCATTACATTAGGGCCGTACTAAATCCAGGAAGATTTTATCTCAAGATCTACACAGATCCTTTTTCCAAATAAGGTCCTGTTCTCAGGTTCTGGGTGGACTTGAACGTGGGGGCTCTCTACACTCCTGCAGACGTCCAGAAAAGCCCCACAGGCTGAGTTCAGCTCTATGCCGACCACACCCCTGCTTCTTGCTAGTGCAGAGGCAGGCGCTCCAGCGAGGGTCCGCTGGGGGAGCAGGGCTGGTGCTCACGGGTGCGGTGCCCGCCCGCCTCCCACACCCACCCGGCATGGGGGCTCAGAGCCCCCGCCAGGGGTCCAGAGGTTCCCCAGAGGGAGCAGAGCGAGGAGGCTGAGCTCACCACAGGCGGCCCCTAGACTGAGGTCCCTGTGGGCTGGTCATGGTGGCCTCTCCTCTGCTCTGCGGAGGAAGGGGGGTGGAGGACATTTGGGGGATGTGGCTCCCGAGCCTCCCGGGGCGGGATGGGGCGGGAGGCTATTGCTGGGACAGACTGGCTGTCCTCCCTAGGGGGTCCCGCAGAGCCGGTGATGTGGGGGACAGGTGTTTTCTGGGGCCAGGCGTGGGGGGTGGACCCCCCTTCTCCTGGCGGCCCTCACCCTCCACAGGTGCTTCTGCTTGTTGCTTTTGGGAGTTTCCTCAAGTTGACTCCTGTTTTCTATCTGTGCCTTCATCAATTTTTTAATAACTTATCGATCTGAAGTTCTTATAAAAGTAACCATCTAAAGAGCAAGTGCACAGCTCAGAAGCAGGAAGCACACCCACGCTGTTGTGCGGCCATCCCTACCATCCGTCTCCGGAACATTCCATCTTCCCACACTGGAGCCCTGTCCCCACTGCCCGCTTACGCCTCCACTCCCCTCTTGCCTGGCGCCCCCTCCCCACCCTCCGCCTCTATGAACGTGGCGACTCTGGAGGGCTTGGAGAAGTGGGGTCACCCAGGGTTTGTCCTGTTTTGTCTGCCTTATTTCACGGAGTGTCCTGTGCTAGGGCTCCTGCATGTCGTAGCGGGCGCAGCATTTCCCTCTGGCCACGGCGGAATATTCCACGGTGTGGATGGACCCCACTGTGCGGTCCGTCCATCCATCCGTCCGTGGACTTCCTCCCTCTCAAAGCTGAGTGATTCCATCCTGTTTGGTTGTTCTCTGTTTATTGCCCCCCTTCGGGAGTGCCAGCCATGTGGGGTGGGGTCTCGTGGCTCTGTGGCCTCCCCAGCCCCTTGAATCACCACCTGCCATTGGCAGGCCCTCTTCAATGGTAATGAAATACGGCCCGGGGCACACAGCGGCCCAGCCTGCCCGCGCCGACCTGGGGTGACCCCGGGGGCCCCCGAGGTGCAGGTGTGCCGAGCCGTCTCCACGTCCCTGCAGCAGAGCTCAAGGCCAGTCTGGACCAGTACGTCACCAGGAGGTACCCGGGCCTGGTGAAGATTGTCCGCAACAGCCGGCGGGAAGGCTTGATCCGGGCACGGCTGCAGGGCTGGAAGGCGGCCACAGCCCCCGTGGTTGGCTTCTTCGATGCCCACGTGGAGTTCGGCACCGGCTGGTAAGGGCGGGGCACAGGGGGGCGCTGGCTTTAGGGGGTCCCTGCAGGTGCCCCTGGGGCCCTGGGCGTCAGGGTCAGCTCCCTGGGCTGGAAGGCGTCTGTGGGGCGCACACCCCGGGGTGCCTGTAGGTGAGGACTGGTCCACGCCCTCACCTTGCTTCCAGAGGGATTGGACCGGCCAGCGTGCGGGTGTGGGCCCAGGCCAGGGAGCACACACGGCCTTGGGGCACTTGCTGTGGGCACGTGCCATCCGCTACCAGCTGCCCAAGCCGTGGGGCACGAGTTGGAAGCAGTTTCTCATCCCCCGTGGAGCCCTCCCGTCCACCGTGTGGGGGTGAGGTGCGCCTCTAATCCAGACGCCTGCAGGGGACGCCGCCAGGGACTGGCAGGGTCAGATGTGCAGGGTGACTCAGACGTGCGACCCCCGCACCCAGCACCCCAGTGGGAAGGCTGGGCTCTGGGCCCGGACCTGTGCTTGCCCTGCAGGCCTGATGCCCAGAGGGGCCTCCAGGCCAGCAGCCCCCACAGCCCCCGTGGGCCAGCAGGAAGTGCAGGTCCGTGCGGCCTGCGGCCTCCGGGTGGGACTCGGGGGCGCTCTGCGAGCGAGGCACGGAGCCTGGCTCTCCTGACAGCTTCTCCAGCTCTGAGGCAGCCAGCGATGCCTTAAGAATGGCGTCAGTTGTCCCGCAAACTGCCCACAGCCAGGGGGCCCAGGGGCGGTCCACACCTTGCTGTCCTGAGGCAGGTGGCACGCTGACGTCCTCACGGTGGGTGTCTTGGCCGACAGCGGGATGTGCTTCAGAGTTTTCTGGAAAGTGCCGGCTGTTTCCTTAACTTGTCTGACAGCTGGGCCCTGCACAGATGAGCGAGGACCTTATGGTAGCTGGGGGAGGGGGCATGTTCTAGGTCAGGGAATAAGAGTCAGGGCCAGAAGTCCAACTTGACAACACGGGTGAGCTGGGCGGGGAAGGCAACGCACGCTTGTCTCCTGGTCCTTGAGCGCGGTGTTGGGAGGGCGCGTGGGGTGCATCCCCGAGCGCGGTGTTGGGAATGAGCATGGGTGCACTCTCGAGCGGCGACGGGGCGTGGGGATTGTTGCCAGACTGTGGAAGTCCCTGCGGGCAACAGACTCCAGGCTGCATCAGATCAGTACTTGCCTGGGAGGTGACGGGACCCTTGACAAAAGAGCGTGTGTGTCAGGAGTGGCCTGTGGGCAGAGGGAGAGGTGACCCCGAGTGTCAGTGACCTGGGGGTGCCAAAACAATGACCACAACCCCGGCAGCTCAAAACAGCAGAAACTACTCTCTAAATTCTGGGACACAAGGTGCCACATGGCCGGGAGGCACCAGGGGAGGGTCCTTCCTTGTCCCCTGGCCTCTGCCTGCCCTCACACCCAGCGTGTGTCTCTGTTCTGTTTCGTTGGAGGGCCCCTGTCATTGGACTCAGGGCCACCCAGGTCATCCAGGATGCTCTGTTCTCAGGACCGTGGGTTAAACCCTCAGTGGGTGGGTCTGCAGTGAAAAGGGCCACTGAGCTGCAGGGACAAGTCAGCCCAGAGTGGCCAGGTTGCCCATTTGAATAAAAAGTAAAACTCAAGATTTTTTTAAAGTTTATTTTAATTACTTATTTTGCAAGCAGACGAGGGGCAGAGAGAGAGAGGGAGAGAGAATCCCAAGCAGGCTCTACACTGTCAGCACAGAGCCTGACATGGGGCTTGAACTCATGAACCATGAGATGATGCCCTGAGCCAAAATCAAGAGTCAGAACCTTTACTGACTGAGCCACCCAGGCGCCCCATAAAACTCACAATTTTTATATCAAATCTCCCAATGCATATTTTTAAACTTTGCAAAGCCAGCATAAGATATTCACTGGGATTCCATGGGAGGGAAAGGAAGGTTCGGCGGTGGATGTGCTGACTGAGGACCGCAGGGCGGACGCAGTCCCGAGTCTGTGCTGTTCGGCTGCACGAGCCCTGTGGTGCGTGGTCCCTGGGTCCCCAGCTGTCTAGGAGGGTCTCGTGTGCCAGGGTCTCCAAGCTTGTGCTTGGAGCAGAGGCTCGGTGTCCCGTAGACAAGCGAGCCTTCTTCCTTTCCCTTCTCCCGGAGCAGCGCAGCTGCCCCAGGACCACGCATTTGTGGCCCAGGTCAGTTCTGACCCTGTTTGACATAAACGTAAGTCTCTTCTGCTGGACTTGGCCTCCTGGCCCCCATTTCTCTCTGCTCTGCCGCCCTCATGAGACAGCCCTTCTCCCGTGATGCATAATCACCTTCTACCGTCAATGACCATCATTTCCACCTCCACCCAGGGTCGTTCCACAGTGTTGTGTAGGCTGTGGACTGCACAGCCAACCCCGGTGGCCGTTCCTCCCTCCACTGCATCGTAAGCTCCCACGGGCACTGGGAAGCCATTTGGGAGCGCCAGGAGTCTGTCACATCTAACGCAACTTTAAACCGGTGTGACTTTAATTTCCACAACCGAAAGCCCAGTTATCCATCTGCAAATAGTACCCCCCACCCGGCCACGGTCGCCTCCACACAGATCCTGCCTTATTAGCAGACGTGACATTTGCAGAGGGCTTTGCTTCTCTGAGGCACTTTGCTGACAGTAATTAATTAGTCTTCCTCGTTAGTCAACTCCAGGCTCCCCGTCAGAAGGGTGGGAAGAAGGCCACATGCCACCTGTTGCCAGGTGGGACCAGACGACTCACACTGGGCCCTCCCGACCCTCCCAAGGGCACCGGCCTGGCCCCCGGCCTCGGGCCGCCCACGACCACAGCGGGACCACAGCTCAGGCTAGGCTCTGCTGGCGTCTCATCCTCGCGGGGACAGGTCACCTCCAAGGGCGGAGCCTGCTTCTGTGGGGATCCCTGCCCGGAGCCCGCAGCTTGCGCTGCTGCCCAGAGAGGTCACCCGAGAGCCCCGGTCCCCCTGCTCTCTGGGTTCACCACCTGTGCTGCCCCCACTTCTCCAGCCCAGCCTCCCGCCTGTTCCCCAGGCACACATCCCGGGGCCTCAGCGCTGGCTGTGCCCTCGCCCATCCCCCAACACTCACCGCCCCCCCCACCTCCCTCTGGTCGTTGCCCAGGGCAACCTATGCAGCCGTCCTTTTTATTTATTTATTTATTTTTAAATGTTTTTTATTTCTAGGAGAGAGAGAGAGAGACAGTGTGAGCAGGGGAGGGTCAGAGAGAGAGGGAGTCACAGACTGAAACAGGCTCCAGGCTCTGAGCTCGCAGTCAGCACAGAGCCCGACGCGGGGCCTGAACCCACGAACCGCGAGATCATGACCTGAGCGAAAGTCAGACACTTAACTGACTGAGCCACCCAGACGCCCCGTAGCCGCCCTATTTAAAACTGTGACTCCAGGTCACCCTTGCCTTGCTGTCCTTCGCACATACTTGTCGCCGTCTAACATGCATCTCCTTCCACGTTAACGCCCGGCCTCCAGCCTCATCCGGGCAGCCACATACTGGTGTGTAGGCTGCCTACTGCGCTACGGTACCCGGCAACCTCTGCCGCTCCACCACCAGTTCCCTGAGGCCTGGGTTTATTTTTAAGCTTATGAGTGTATTCCTTTGTTCGAACAGGGCGTGGCCACTACTTGGTCTTCCAGGTAATGTTTGTGAGTGAATGTATCTTCCACAAGAGCAGGGAAGGAGGGAGGAAGTGGCTGAGCTGTGAGGCCGGCCAGTGGCAGACCCAGCTGCCCTTCAGGGGTGTCACAGCCTGGGCCCAAATGGTGGTTATGTCCTTAGTGTCAGTGGTTGGCTGCGGGGAGGGCGGGGCCCTAGGTGGGGCAGGTCTGCAGCCCGATGACCCCCGGGGGTTCATGGCGAGGAGGCCTTCACACCCGGGCTCGGCTGGCGGGTGGTCACCGACATCACCCTGCTTGTGGGCCTCGGCCCCTCGCTGGGGCACCGGATGGGGGTCCCCGCTCCCGTGCCCCTCCTCACAGGCACGTGCCTCCCTGCAGGGCGGAGCCCGCACTCACCCGGATCCAGGAGGACCGCAGGCGCATCGTGCTGCCGGCCATCGACAACATCAAGTACGACACGTTCGAGGTGCAGCAGTACGCCAGCGCGGCCCACGGCTACAACTGGGGCCTCTGGTGCATGTACATCATCCCCCCCCAGGACTGGCTGGACCGCGGCGACGAGGCGGCGCCCATCAGGTGAGCCGGGTCCGGGCCACGGGGTGCAGGGGCTGCTGCGGGTGGGTGCAGGGGCCACGGAGGTGTGCAAAGGCCACTGGGGGGTGCAGTGGCTGGGGGGTGCAGGCTGGGGGGCGTGCAGGGGCCTCTGGAGGTGCAGAGGCTGCTGGGAGGGTTCAGGGAGTGATGGGGGGTGCAGGGGGTGCTGGGGGTGCAGGGGCTGCTGGGGGTTTGCAAGGCCGGGGGGATGTTCCAGGAAGGACTCTGGGGACTCGGGGGCCCCAGTGGGGACTGGGTCAGGTGGAGACGGAAGAGGGAGATGGAGCAGATGAGCAGAGAGGAGGGGCCAGTGGAGGAGAAGCAGACACGGACGGAGGACGGGGCACCAGCGCCGGAGAAGCAGGGAGACAGAGGGAGGCGGGCAGAGCGGCCGCGCACAGAACCACAGTCTCTGCAGACAGAGACGCCATAGTTATCTTCAAGTGCACGCATGTATTCGAGTCGGGTCCCAGACGTGAAAACGGATTTTTACACAAAAATGCACAAATCCAGCACCTTTTGGGAGGTGGGAAAGCTCACACTCTCGCGAGGTGACCATTGGCCGGAGCTGGGAAGGGGCCCCGTCTGGATGGGCGTGGGCCTCCCGCGGCCACAGTCCCCCGCTCCCCATCACCCCCAGTCCCTCCGCCCCCTGCTCATGTTTCCAGCATCGCCTGGGGGCTGCTGAGCCCTGGGAATCCGCACGTCGTGGTCAGGCCCTGGGGGCGCAGTCACGGGCCCTGGTTCCTGGGACGAATGTGCATCTCAGGACCTGCTGACCCCCGGAGCCTGCAGCCCTCCCGCAGGGGTCTGAGATTTCAGGGGCTGGAAACCATCCCTCCTCCCGTCTGTGCAAGCTGGCGGGTCCCTGCCGAAATCCTGCTGAAACAGGTCACTGTGTGTGGAGGGACCTAGACCCTGTGTCGTCATGCCTTTGAAAGCTTTCGTTCCCTCAGGAAGGTCTAGTGGGGGCTTCCAGGCACGCACCCTGTGCGGGCAAAGAGCCGTCGGAGATGCCCACACCCCTGCGCAGCCGGCACGCCCAGTGGTGAAGTCAGCGGACGCGGGGGTGAACGGCCCGGCCCGAGCCCACACCTCCCTGACTCGGGGAAACCGCATGGCCAGCATGGAGCCGGGGGTGGGGGGGTGCTCTATCCCGAGGGACCCCAGATGCCCAAGCAGCCGCCCCCTCGCGGCCTGGCTCTGTCCCCACGGCCGCCTCTCAGAGGCGGGCCCTCGACGCTCCTGGGAGCTGGACGGGGCGGGAGCTGGGGCTCTGGGGCGCAGAACCGTCCGTGTGTAGAAGCCGACCGACGGGCTCGCCGGGAGCCAGGAACAGCAGCTTGAAAGTTACTTTTCTTCGTGCAGAATGCTCTAGGTCCCCCTGGTTAGGGGCAGAAGAGCCTAGCGTTGCACGTGTTAGGAGTCAGAGGCCCCAAGGTCCGGCAGCCTCTGGATGCCCGGGCTGCACAGCAGCAGGATTTTCTGGCCAGACTGTGTCGTGTCAAACTTGGCGCCTGGCTAGCGTCACCTGAGAGCTTCTGAAAACCCTCATGTCAAACTCCAGATAAAAAAACAGGTGAACACTAAACGGATTCTACACAAAAGGAGGTGGGTGTGGCCAGCACGTTCACGGAGACCCCGGGCCTGTCAGGGGGGGAAGCGAGGACGAGAGGAGGTGCCGGCTGGGCACGGGGAGGGCACGGCCGTGGGGACGCCCGTGCGAGGCTGGGGGCAGAACCAGTTGGCGAAACCTCGGGAGACTGGCGGCTCTCCACGAAGGTGAAAATCGCTTCCTGCTTCACACCCGGCTCCCTTGCCATCCCCCTGGAAGGAACGAGAACCTGTATCCACGCAGAGACTCGCGGGCGCGTACGCCAGGGGCGTCGTTCTCAGGGACGGAAATGCCCCAGATGTCAGGTGTGGCAGGTAAAGCCGCTGGCGGCCGCCCAGGTGCCCGATCGCTTCCCGGAGTGAACGGGACAAACGCCAGTGGAACTCGATCGCTGGGCGGAGCCAGAGACACCAGACACGGAAGCGGCCACACCGTGTGACGTGGCCACAGGACGGTCCAGGAGGCGCCGTCAGGAGAGGAGAAATGACCGGCTCTCTGGGGGTGCTGGGCACCGGCTCTGAACTGGCACCAATTCCTGGGGACCCGGGGTGATGTTCTCTGGCTGTCAGGGGCCAGGCTCAGGTCGCTGACCGAGGGTCCCGGGTTACCCCCTGAATCGAATGACTGGACTCACGCACTGGCGTACAGGTCCACGGAAGGTGAGCACGCGGGGACACGGACCCCCGGCGCCCGCAGGTGCGGCTGCAGGCGAGGCCCGAGCGGTGGGGGACGGGCTGAGCCCACCGTGAGCCCCCTGAGCTCCTTGTTCCCTTGTCCTTGTCCTCACTGGGAGGACGCCCTTGGGCCCCTCCCGCTTGGCGGCCGGCTCCCTGCAGAAGGCGCTCCTCACCCCTCCTCACCGCGGACCGGAGAGCCCGATTCCCGGGGGCGACACGCTCCGCGGGTCTCTCCTCCCGCGTCCTGGCGGGAAGAGCCGCTGCCCTTCCGAAGGACGCAGCTGGCACATCCACGCCCGAGGCCGTGCTGGGAAGTTACTCAGCGCCCCGAGCGGCTGCCATTTGAAGATTTACTTTAGGAGATTCTCTTGCCCTTCGTTACACTCGAAGCTCAAGGAAGACAGAAGGAATGGAAATCGTAAGGCTTGGATTTCTGGGGGAGTGCGGGCCTCCTTGTGCACACGCCCCAGTGCCGGAGCCCGCCCGCGTCCCAGGCCACGCTCCCCTGCGCGGGGCGGGGGCTCCCCTCCCCAGGACCCATCCAGAGCCCCAGCGTTGTGTCGGGGGGGGGGGGACAGCGAGGGCCCTGCGGGCGACGGACGGCTTCCAGCGCCAGGAGCCGGAGGAAAAGCTGCAGGAGGGAGCGCTGGGTCAGGCTGAGGTGCCGCACGCAGCGCCCCACCCCTCCCCCAGGCAGGGCCGTGGGGGCGAGGGCCCGAGTCATGCACACCCACCTGCACACAGATACACACTGGGCTGCACGCACACACACCTGCACACAGATACACACTGTGGGCTGCACGCACACACAGCTGCACAGGGGCGTACGCACACATATCCACACCTGCACACACACCTGCACACAGATACACGCTGTGGGCTGTGCACACACACAGCTGCACGTGCATGCACCTGCACAGGGGCGCACGCACACATAGCCACACCTGCACACACACCTGCACACAGATACACAATGTGGGCTATGCGCACACACATCCACACCTGCACACACCCCTGCACACACACCTACACAGGGGCATGCACACACATATCCACACCTGCACAGGGGTGCACACACACATATCCACACCTGTGCAGGGGTGTGCACACACATATCCATACCTGCACACACACCTGCGCAGGGGCACGCACACACACATACACACCTGCGCACACACCTGCACAGGGGCGCGCGCGCACACACACACACACCTGCGCACACACCTGCACAGGGGTGCACACACACACATCCACACCTGCACAGAGACGCGCACACACCTGCACACACACCTGCACAGGGGCACACACACACATATCCACACCTGCACACATGCACACAGCTACAGCTGCACACACACCTACATGCACATGCACACACATCCATGCCTGCACACACACTGGTGCACACACACATCCACACACAGTGACAGATACACATTTCTGGCTGCACACACTCCCGCACACGCACACACCTACACACACAATGCGCACACACCTGCACAGGGGCACACACACATCCACACCTGCACACCCATACTCACATTCACACATGCACACACCCACATGCAGATACAGCTGCACACGCTCACACACGCATACACTTGTGCACGCCCCTGTACACAGATACCTACAGCTACACACACATCTGTATACACTCACACACACATCCGTATGCACACACACCTGTACACACAGACGCATGCAGAAGCATACATGCACCTGTGCACACATGCACAGTGGCACACAGGTGTGCAGATGTGGACGTGAGTCATTGCACACATGTAATCGCTTCTCTAGCTGCAGAGGAGGAACACAACCATTTACTCTCTGATTTCTCTGCTGGTCTCCCAAGCGCAGCTGCCAGGGTGCTGGGTGGTCCCCACGGCCACCAGCTCGGTCGCTGGGTCCCGTCCGACCCCGAATTCACTCCAGCCCCCACACCAGTGGCCTCCAGGCTGATCTCCTTTCTGCCACGACACAGCTTCGTGCAGATCAGTTCCCGACAGTGGTCACCGCAGGGGTGCAGGCGGAGAGGCTGAGCCAGGGCAGTGGTCAGTGTGACCCGGGCCACACTGCCAGGGGCTCAGAACTGGGCCAGCACTCGCTGCACACACCTGTGCTGCTCCCCCTTTCCCCCTACTCCCCTGCTCCCCACTGCTCCCCCTGCTCCCCTGCTCCCCACTATCCCCCCTGCTCCCCCTGCTCCCCACTGCTCCCCCTGCTCCCCACTGCTCCCCCTGCTCCCCTTACTCCCCCCTGCTCCCCACTGCTCCTCACTGCTCCTCACTGCTCCCCCTGCTCCCACCACCTCTCGGAGCACGTGGGCATCGCTGGCTCTCCAGCCACTGCTTCAGACTCTTCCAAGAGGGCTGATCAGTCCCCCCAGTTTCTCCACAGACTGGCCACCATCACGTTTCCTGCGTTTAGTGCAAAACGTGTGCAAGAGGCTCCGCACGCGACTACTGCCCAATGGCCAGCCCAGGGCGCACTCTCCAGGTGCCTGTGCTCACCCAGCGAGCGTGTGCCTGGCGTCAGGGTGCTCAGTGCCTGGCTGTGCCCGTGAGCACGTGCTCTCCACGGTGCCCGAGCGCTGGCTCACCTCGGCCCTTGTCGGTCTCCGAAGGCCAAAGGGCACATTTGGGACCCTCATTTTATTAGCCCCCCTTTGTACGGGGCTGCGGAATTACGTGGCTCAGGAGTGTGTGTGGTGTATGTGTGTCCGTGTGTCTGCTGCAGGCGCGTGTCCGTGCATCCGCGTGTGCCTGCGCTTCTGTTACCTGTCCAAGGGGCGTCCCTGGGCACGAGCCATGCTTGCCGCAGAGCAGCCCCGATGCGAGGACGCCCCACGACGTCTCCCCAAAACCTGAGAGCCCCTCCGCCAAAGCGTCTGAGCCTCGCTGTGTTTTGTAATCACAGCTGAATTTCTCATGCAGATACACTCAGCGCCTGCTTATTCTGCCCCTGTCACCTCGTGCATTTATTTTAAGTTTATTTTGGAACTCTGAGCATAAAAAAATCATTACCTGTTATAATAGACTTGGCAGGGAATTTGGCACTTTGATTCACCAGAGATAACATTTGAGATTTTCCGCGGCTGTTGAGAAATCAAGAGAAATGACTCTGCGCGTCAGAGAACGTAACTTAACCCATCAAACGCTTGCTATTAAAAGTCAAAGGCAGCATTAAAATGTTATTATTGTTAGATTTGTGGCCAGAGTCTAATGATAGGACAAACTGAATCTTTGCATAAATAAAAGGGTAATCGTTTTCAATGCCTCTGTTATCCTGGGACAACTGACTTCCCAGTCACTGAGCCGAAGTGCTTCTTCTACATTGTGATTGAGACCAGTTTTTGGTGGTGTTTTTACGGAAGAGGAATGTATTCCTGCAGGAATGGCAGGAACAGAGCGGGGGCAGCCTCCATCCGGGCGCGGGAGCGGCCTGGGGCCTCCGGGCACGACGGGAGGCCTGCTTAGGGCTCAGCCTACAAGCAGAGGCAAAATATTTCATCAAAAGCTTGACTTATGGGGCGCCTGGGTGGCTTAGTCGTTTAAGCGTCCGACTTTCGCTTGGGTCATGATCTCGCGGTTCGTGGGTTCGAGCCCCGCGTCGGGCTCTGTGCTGACTGCCGGCTCAGAGCCTGGAGCCTGTTTCAGAGTCTGTCACTCCCTCTCTCTCTCTGACCCTCCCCTGCTCACGCTGTCTCTCTCTCTCCCTCTCCTAGAAATAAATAAAAATTTAAAAAAAAAAAAAAAAAAAAGCTTGAAAGGTCTGGCTTTCTTCCAGCATCTGGACGGTGCCTACTTGTTGCTACAGATCCATTTTCTCGTTGTCTTCCTGTCCTTACCGCCTAGGAGACGCTCACTGTATCCACTCACTATACTGAATGAATGAATGCATGCATGCATGAAGGAGCAAACGTGCAGTGCTCTCCACAGTGATGTGCTTCTCTGATTCTACACCGCTTCGTCTCCTGTGCCCTGAGGCCCCTTCCCAGGGACCCACAACACTGACAGTTTTTTAATGCACAGTGGAAAAAATAAAGTTAGCACATAGATGCGTGATTTCACAGACACAATTTCTTAAGACAAGGCAGTACTTACTGATCTTTTATAAATGTGTAGTTGTAAATAATTTCGGAAATAATAGAACAAATGGCAGTCTGTGGCCCACAGCTGCACAGGTGGTGCACTCTACAACTTCAAGGTGTGTCTTTTAGAGAGTCTGATATCAATGAGGTTGCATAGAGTGGAGCAGTGCACAACCTACGCAACTGCCTGTTGCAGCCCTGACTACTAGTGTGCAGATAGGACAAAATGATGAAGGACGTTGGCAAGTGACTCAAACTTGGGAAATGATGTTCAGGGCAACCAAACAGCTCACTGAGAAAACTGATTTCTTTAAGACTCCCTACACTGACTTGCCTGAGTTGAGCACCGGTTTGTGTCATCTGCTGATGTTCTTCAATCAGTGTTTGGACTTGGCCTGTGCTGGGTGTTTACTAGGCTCCGGAGGATGAGAGACAACCCCGAGGGGGGCCTGCCTGTGTCCTGGAGGGCCCGGGCTCTCCCGGCTGCCGGGCAGGCAGGGGCCCGGGACTGCACACCTGTGACCTGCTCACTGTCTCTGCGCCCCCCCAGGACCCCCGCCATGATTGGCTGCTCGTTCGTGGTGGACCGGGAGTACTTTGGGGACATCGGCCTGCTGGACCCAGGCATGGAGGTGTACGGCGGAGAGAACATCGAGCTGGGCATGAGGGTGAGTGGCCCTGCGGGTCTGCCGGACCCGCCCCAAGAACCAGCGCGGGGCTGTCGGGTGGGGCTGGCTGGACCGAGAGCTGCCGGTCACGGGTCGGTGGGACGCAAGGCCCCGGCTAGGAGTCGGCACGAGAAACCACGGTGGCGCGGGACCCGGGACCTGGCTGTCCGTCGAACACGACGGCAAAGGACGGTGTTTCGTGGTGGTTTCGTTTGCAAAGCCACTTGCTGCTGCCTCGCGCGGCACTGACATGTGCTTGGAAACATCAAAGCTGAGCCTTCGGCACAGGGAACCGAGGGTCCACGCTGGGCGCCCCCCCCCCCGCGCTGTCCTGCGTGCCCTGCACATGGTGCTGTGTTTGTCTCGCTTGCATGTGGAAGGCAGGGGCGTGCATGCGGGTTGTGGCCCTGAGGCCCCGTGGCTGTTCCCAGTGGGCGTGGAGGGGCTTTGTGCGAATGCCCCAGGGAGCAACTGAAATCTGTGGTCCTTGGCCCTGCCCCCTTCTCCCCTGCACCCCCATGGACCCTCTGGTTTCAAACGGCCTTGCCTGGCAGCTTGGGGAACTGATGGCAAGTTCTAGAAGAAATGTTGGTTGCAGATCGGGGACTCTGGGGTAGCAGAGCTCACTCTGTTCTGGATGCCCCAAAGCTGAGGTCCGACCTAGCCCCCGTGGGAGGGGGCTTCCTCGCCCAGTGCTTGGGGAATGTTGGTGGCTGGGGGCACGGGTCCCCTCGGGGACAGCGCCGTGGGCAGGGTGTGGCAGCGCCTTAGCTGTCAGAGCCTGCACACGACGCATCTGAGCAGGTGGCTTTGGAGATGTGTGCTCAGGCGGCAGGCTCCCAGCCGGCCCAGCTACACCCGCTCAGCCCTTCCCAGAGCCCGAGTCTCCGGCAGGGAGCTGGGCCTCATGGGCGCGCGCCGTGAGTGCCGGCTGTATGCCAGGCCCGCAGCTACAGAGGGAGCCCACAGATGGAACAGATCCTGCTTTTCTGCAGCTCACTTCCCGGGGAGGAGGCCAGAAGAGAAGCGTGTTGTGTGGTTAGCGAGAAGCACCAAAGGGAGAAGGAAAGCCGGGAAGGGCAGAAGCGCGGCGGCGGGGGGGGGGGGGGGGGGGGGGGGGGGGGGGGGA